GAGACATCAATTGTATCTGAAATGAATTCACATAAGGGCAGAATTGTCTTGTGAGAACCAAATTTGCCTGCTGTACCCCTCTCAGTTGCTATGAGAACTTTTTTGCTGAACTTTTATGACTATGTAGCGAACGATGTCTAATAAGCTGGAAAATTCGAACCCTTTCTGTCAAATCTGGAATCTGAACTTGATAAATGTAATAAATTCCAACTGTAATTGCGCTATCGATAACCACAGGAAAATGTGTGCAATCATAATTAATGAGGTAATTCATAACTATGAATGAAGCGTTGATTGAGGGTGAACTTGAAGATTCTATTATGGAATGAACGACGCTTGGGATGAGAGCTTAATCAGCAAATATAGAGAATTGGTGCTAAAAGTGCCAGAGCAAATATCATATCAAGATGCATTTCGTGATCCATCGTTGAGATGGTCGATCTTCGTCGGTATGATCGTCAGTGGATCGCAGGTGTTCTGCGGAAGCATGGCCACTATTTCATATTCAACCAGGTGAATCGCATCAACGAAAAATGTTCTTTCATTCAGTTATGCCTATCAACTCATCTACCTGTCATATTCTTAAAAGATTAATCATTTGAAGCTATTTTGAGAAAAGAATTCAGCGCTAACGTTTTGCTCATTTATTTTCCAGTTGTTGTTTTCTTTATGAATTTTCTGAACCTTGACAATGTTTCTGTTGCTTGTGATCACGGGTATATCGCAATGTTCATTGATCATCGAATGTTTGATAAAACTCTAATTGATTGCAGCATGTTCAACTCAGTGTCTTTTGTATCACCATTGGTACCATTCCTGCCAACAATTGGTGCTGCGTTGAGTGTGATTTTAACACTGCCTGCTATTTGTTTGGTTGAGAAGTATGGTAGACGAGTGCTCTTTATCAGCTCTTTACTCATACTGGTATTATGTGATTATTTTCTCGCCATATTCACAGTTCTGTCGCAAAATGTCGAATTCGTCGGTGAGATTTGCTATCTTCTGGCTGCCATTTTCAATTCTTATTTTATCGATGTTTTTATTGTTGATATCACTGTCAGAAGCATTATAGATGCAAAGCAAACATTACTGTGCTATCAGCTATGTCCAACAGGTTTTGCTTTTAGAGCTAAACGTGATTTCCTCAAATTTTACCTATTACTCAATAGTTTTTCCTATTATCTACCGCGTTTATTGAGAAATACTCATGAAGGATCAGTGAAGGTCATACATTGAGGAGCGTTCAGAGTGAATATTGAAGGAATTACACGAACGATATCGAATGTTGAACAAGGCATTGCTTGTTAGAGAGAAATTCTCTTTGGTCATCCAATAACAAATACAGTCATTGCGTTTTCAGGATTAAGTTTGTGGTCAGTGTTATTTGGAGTAGCGTTCTTCTTCTACGGATTAGCGTATAATCTTGGAGTGGGACCGACAGCATTCTTTATACCGGGTGAATTGGTGCCGTCACAGGTGGTTTCTGTAGCACTTGGAGCTGCCGTAGCAACCAACTGGTTTGGTTCGCTTGTAACAACATTCCTGTTTTATCCGTTGAATTTGGCTATCGGTGGATGGTCATACCTATTATTCGCTATACCGAGGTTATCCATCTCATCATTTCCATCACTTCTTAAAAACTTTTTCTTGGGCAGATCGTCCACCTAAGCTGAAATAGCTCGCAAAATCGTTCCCACCCATGTCCTTTGAAATGCGACAAAGGCTCTAATAACAGTCGCTAATATGACATGAGTGATTGCAAGCTTCAAAGATATTGCTCAAGAAAAGGAAAATTCATTTGCATTTATCAGGAATTCATCAGTTCGTACAAAATACCGCAGTTGTTTTACGTGCACAAGTAAGCATTCTTAGGTTTGAAGCAGTCATCATATGTGTTATGTACATCGAATAACTAATGCAATATCGGTCACAAGATGTGGTCTCAAGCATAAATTCTCAATTGAATGAAACGAATTTCATAATTCTGAATCATTACACAGTTTCTGCGCATCTGAGTACAACCAAATGCGCTTTTAAAATGCGGTGTCACGTTTTTTCATCGCATTTTTCAGTTTTATTCATCATCCCGAATCAAACTGCCAACATTATATTATCCCTTTTCAGCACAATCTTTTTAATCTTCCTATGGAATTTTTTGCCTGAAACGAAGCACAAAGATAAAGGAGCGATCGAATGGGAGAGTTTGGTGGATTTTGGCAAACCGGATCAATATGGGACGTTCATGATCAGACAGTTCTAATCAATATTGAATGTCACGATAATGATGGATTGAATGGAATGGAATCTCTTTGCTGCATAAAAACTCTTATTTGATTAATTTACGTACGTGATAGAAGAGGTTCCAACGCCGTTAATTGTAAATCGTAACATGTAAATACGCTAGACGGATGCATTTTCCTCACCAGTAATTCCTAGGTTTCCAGATAATTCTATAAGCATATCAAAATAAACTTGAGAGATGTGACACTCATCGTACAATCTGCTGAACGCACGCTAATCATAGATCCGCTGGAACTATGGCTCATACATTTTTTCATATATATATAGATTCAAATCGGAACTTATTATGCCAGTAATAATGCTGCCAGTAATCTTATGGCTTATGCTAGATTTCAGACGTCGTTGGTTTGAAATCCTTTAGCATAGCCAGCTTCTGCTTGGGGTTTCCCTCTGCTAATAAATGGGGAAATGAACAATCATCCAAGGCGTATTCTGCTAAGTTCTTTCCAGACAGATTGTTTTGATTTTCGATGTAAATAATGAGTTATTTTTGTTGCTGTCTCACTATAAGATCCATCCGTCGTATCAGATGGATGTCTATTGGTGGATGAATGTAATGACTGGTTCAGTCACATGTTTATTCCGTCAAACAATAGAATATTAATAATGATAACGAAAAGGCGAATGCCAGCAGTAATGCTGCCAGTAATCTTATGATTACTAAACAAAATGAAACCGTACTGATTCGTCTACGACATATCAATAAACGGATAAAGCCTGACGACAATGTGAAAACAATTAAAAAATGAATAACATGTTGACTAATTGTAAATGCAATTTTCAATCGCTTGTTCATTTATTTTTGATGTATAATGAACAATAAAGATTAGATTCACATCGCAACTTATTAATCACAGGCTATATATGTACATCTATGTATCCATCCAGTCATCAGCATTGTTTCACACCCTATCATATTTTCCTTATCCTATCAACAGCCATTGCTCGTCGGCGGTCGTTCCGAGTTATATGTTTGTTGCGGTTGCCACTAGTGACGATTTCATTGTATTGTGTATGAAGCGTTATGGCCGAGAGCGTTCGTGTTGTTTGCAGATGCAGACCTCTGAATCCCAGAGAACTTGCCCTCAACTCAAAGGTTATCACTTCTTATCAGTGTTTTTATCATCAATACCCCACCCCCTCGTTCCCCACAAAATAGTCCCTGACGTACTTGTCAGATGTTCAGATTTTTGTCTATTCAATCAGTATGAGCAGAAAATGGTCGAGTGAAACGTTGAAAGATGAAAGTGAATAAGTTTTTAGTAGTTTACAGATATGTGTTCAAATGGATCAGCAGTGTGGACAGGTGATCCTGGAAGGAGACGGTCCACCAAAGCAGTTCACTTTTGATGGAGTTTATTATATGGACTCTACGGCTGAACAAATCTATAATGACATTGTCTATCCGTTAGTTGAGGTATTTGTGCATTCCGTGAATTACGCTTCATTGCGCTCATCTGAAACTTTCATTGGTTCCATAAGTAATTTCAAGAAATCCAAATGATTCGATTGCAATTCAAGCAATAGATTGGTGGTATCAGTGACAGAGTGTAATCATAGAGCGACACGATTGCATGGTCCTATGAAGTGATCACTGTTACGTATGATTTTGTACTAAAGTTATTTTATCACGTATGATCTATGCAGTGACATCTTAGAATGTAATCGAAGGCTACAACGGAACGGTTTTTGCGTATGGTCAAACTGGTTCCGGAAAGACCTACTCAATGCAGGGAGATGAATCTGTTCCGGCTCAGAAGGGTATCATTCCTCGAACCTTTGAACATATCTTCGAAGCAACTGCTACTACCGATCATACCAAGTTTCTCGTTCATGTCTCGTACTTAGAGGTGTGTTACAACATACATTCTCATTCATCCAACAATAAGCGACACACCATAATGCATTGGTTTTTTTTGGCATCCTTGATTCTTTTCGCAGTGAACGCTTTGGCCATAGATCTCCTCATAAAATAACAACATTTTGCTTGACTACATAAAACTACGAACGCCTCCATTATGATTTCACCGAAAATTATGACTGAATCCACGGAACTGCTTTCGAAGCGATTGTACAATGTGCTCATTTAAGTGGTCCCTCGAGAGATTCGTTCATTATTCAGCAATAAGTGCCATGAATAGAAAAGAGATTATTCACGTTCACTTGAATGACTGATGAGTCGATATCCTTTCAGATATATAACGAAGAGGTTCGCGATCTTCTCGGTAAAGATAGAGCTCAGAAATTAGAGATCAAAGAGCACAGTGAAAGAGGTGTTTATGTGGCTGGTTTGTCGATGCATGTATGTCATGATTACAATGCGTGCAAAGAACTCATGAAGCTGGGATTTCAAAATCGTCATGTGAGCTCTTTTCTATATTCGTTTTTTT